TTGAAAATGACACTCTGTATATATTCACCAAAGGTGGAAAATGAATATCATAGGGAATGTTATTTCCAGACAAATGGATATTTGGTGAGAAATAAAATGGGAAATTATTCGATTTCATATCATTGTTATCAAGACATTTGAGATACATCAGAAATAAGACCAATAATTTACTCAATTAGGAAATCAGTAGGTTGCGTTGAAAAATATAGCCTTATAGAAGATGTCCAAATTCCAGATATAGAAGATACGGGGGTGTAACCATAAGAAATGTGACACACTGAATATATTTTTGCGGATATATCTGAAATTGTGGAAGGAAAAGGTAGGGTTATATATATATTTGTAATGAGAATGCCTGGGACTATTCAACTGTGCCAAAATATACGGTGTGTTCCATTAGAAAAAACATAATTGGCTGCCGTATCTTTTCAACGTCACCCTGTATAACATTTCTGATGATGCCAATGGATTCCACGCATCATACTGTATGAATATACGTTTGAAATTTTATGATACCTCTCACCGTAAAGTAGTCAGAAAATAAAATCGAAATCGGCAATTTTTAAATTTCCCCCTGTATCTCTAAAACGAATGAAGATATCTGAATTTTGATTGTGCCATTCGAGGTTTCTCCAAAATCAAACCCGGAACATGTATATCGGTTTTTCGATAACTCCTCTAGTTATTGAGATAGACGGTGAAAACGCCCAATTTTGCCCACCCTGTACGGTGTCACCGGTCAATCACGAAATTTCAAGATCATGAAATTTCTTGAGTGATGACAAGAAATAATATGTCAAGATTTTTAGAGCTTTCTTGACTGTTTCTCAAGACAAAACAAGAAGTTGTTATCAAGACAAGAAGTCTTGTCTTGGCGACCCATAGCCCTATCATTCACACTGAGGGAAAAAAATTGTAGCCGTTACTAAAAAATTAGTAACTACAGAAAAGTTTTTAGTACAATAGGGGACACGGACAGCAAGCATTAGTTGTTGCCATAACTAATTCTGTTTTTCTGGAAACGCCTATTTGCCTCTAATGAAAAGTTTAGTTGAGTCATCTACGACGTTGTTGTGGTAACTAATAAGCCTTTTTAAGGAATAATATCAAGTTTTATTTGCCACAATCAAGATACATAGTTATGACAATTAGATTGTTAGTACTGTTTCAATATATGTTTGTTATCACAGAAATTAACCCAGTTGGGGCGATTACTCATTTCTTCTGACGTTAATAGTGAGTGTGTTGTTGCAAATTAAATATTTAATTGTGACTGAAATGGGATCTAGTTACTATTAAAAGTGATTCAGTAACGTTAGAAATATAATTTATTTATTCTGGCAACTTAATAGTTTTATATCAATTAAAATCAAAGCCCCATTCTAATAATAACAGTTTGTATGCCATTTTCCTTCCAATTTCCAATGGAATCGTGAACAGGAATACACCACACACCGTCGTAAGTGCCACAGGCCACAGCTCAGCAAAAGAGAGGGAATTATAAATATACACCTTGTACACGTGACGTCAGTTGGACGTTTCTCACCGTCGCCCGTCGTAAACTGAACTGAATTGTGAATAGGTACCTAAACCTGATAGCTAGTGACGCACAGATAACGATGGTGAACTGCGAATTATTATTTCGCCAACCAAATGCCAAATGGCTCAGCGCGAAGTGCAAAAAAACACAAAACAGTGATTTGAAAACACACAGAGCAGTGAACCAGCAAGAACACGACGCTCCCGGCTACACTAGACAATTATTTTATTTATTTTGTCTAAGCTCGACGATCGTGCGATCTATCCACTATTAAGATACAAGTTCAAATGATGAAACAGAAAGACAAACAGATGCAAGATGCAATTTTTCCGGTGGGTCCCGAAGCGACACGAGGCGGTCCCGAACGACGCAGTACAACTAAAATGGCTAAACAATTTCTGCTATGAATAATAATAAACCTTTTACGATAAATGTGTCATCAGTTGTGGCAAATAGTCAGCTGTTGTTAGTAACCCCAGAATTAGGTTTTTTAACCCCAATATGACATTTTAATTGACTGAATAGACAACACTGTGATAATTCTGTCACAAATAGTATTTTTATTGATGACAAATAATTGGCGAAAAATAGAAAAGTCATTTGTAGGAAATAAGGATACGTTGTCATTGTTAATGAATTTCCAAATATTTTTAATTACCGGTGCTAAAAAAAATACCAACTAGACGTTTTAATTAACCAGTTTTTCTCAGTGCACGATATGACCTTTCCGGCCAACCTGTATTTCATCAACATGAAATTTTCTCAAAGCAGTGTATGATATAATCTACCCCTAGAATCTAGCAGGGTCTTTCCTAACCCTCTCTCACCAGCATCGCTTCGAATGCCGAGTCCCGTCGAATCCTCACCCCCAAACTTTAGTAATTCCATATCTTTTTGAAGTATCGATTTTCAGTTAAGGTGAGGGTCGGTAGAAGCGCATGGTTGAAATTCGGTGGAAATCACCTGCAACTTGCAAGGCCCCGAAATAAGATGAACGATAATGGGAGCACGAAGTGCTCGTGAGAAATCAATAGGTGGTTTAATCTGATATTTCGCACTCTTCCATGATGTGCTACGAGGGAGTGAAAGATCAGCGAAACTCACACTGAATTTTTTCAAGTGACAACTTCTATTTGCCCGTTAGGCACGTTCTGGGATGGGAGTGAAAAACTCGCGTCACGGAAGCGCGCGTACCTTAAGACATTTCATTAATTGCCCACTTGTTTGTTTTTATGCTCTCTCGTTATTTATGAAAGTGTTTGTCATATATTTATATTTCACATCTGTATTCAATATCTACTGACTTAAATACTGTCTGTATGTTAATCGAGGAGGTGGTACATTCATTATTCCAGAATTTTGCGGGATTTTCTCTCCTTGTCTCTACAAAATAAAAATATGAATACCATTTCAATATACGTATAGTGAGGACAAATCAGACGATTTGCCCCAAAATGTCACTGTGTCTAAAGAATTTTCCTATCAGAGAGCTTAAAAGAAAAATTCACTAGCTTGTCAGTGACAATTCGTATTGAAAAAGGTTTGGGGAAGAGAAATGAAGGTATATGGAAAAAATATCAAATCTTCAATTATCTTTGGACGTTCAGAGAACGAATCTGCTCCCGTTTTCAACATGAAAAATGTATTCTTGTATAACCTTGTATTGAACACGAGGCCTCAACCAAATTTATTATTACGGGAACGAATGCATTTAGGAAGTAGAAGATCGTTTGGAATTAGGACAGTCAACATTTCGGTTTATGAACTCGAAATATCTTTATCAAGTCTCTCCGAGCCATGAATACAACTTTGAGTATAAAAAAAAGATGATAAACCCTAATAGCACACAACGTCCTAGAGACGTCCCTATTTGGTACAATTCACGTCCGAATGTCCCGAACCAAAATTAAGTGTCCTTGGGACGTCCCATCCCGTACATCTCATGCAATGTCCGAGCAAGGACGTCCACGGGATGTCCCTGATGGGATATGATTTCCTAACGTTTCTTTAGGGACATCCATCGGATGTCCCGAGTAGTACATATTCTGGCATGACTTCAGATCTTATATAATGTCTCTTCTAGACAACCATGGAATGTCCCTGATGGTACATTCCTTCAAATATCTCTGCACAGACGCCTATAATATTTCCAGGATCGTATAACAATCGAAATGTTCCTTAGGGACATCCTTCGAATGTCCCTCAGGGATATCCGTCGGATGTCCCAATTGGTACATAAACTGTACTCTTCCAATGTCCTAGAAATAACGTCCTATGGACGGTACTTTCAATATGTTGTCCCTGCGAGGAGTTAACTTACACCTCGCCGACGAATAATTGCTCGTAGGCTATAAGTACTACTCGTCAATGTCCTACACGTTAGTCCATTGGACATCCTTGGGACACTTTTTGGGGACCTTCCACAAACCATCAACTCAACTGGATGTCCTAATCAGTTATGCAAGTTCTGGTCCTAGAGGGACCCAGAAAAATTCAAATTCAAGAATAATTCGTACGTCCCTGGGACATCCTATGGACATCCTATGGACATCCAATTGATATCCCTTAGCGTTGCTGATAGGTTGTCCTAAAGATGTCCTAAGGATGTCCTAAGGATGTCCTCAATAGTGCTTGATGAGGAATACTGTCGATAGTTGTCCCAGGGACATCCCTCAAGGACGTCCCTAGTAGGTCCTCAAGTGGGACACGGTACCAAATTCGAACGTCCTATGGACGTCCTGAATGTCCCGACAGGACGTCTTGGGGATATCCATGGGACATAAGTGTGTTATTAGGGAATAGAAGGATCGATATGAAATTGGTATGTGGCGTAAATTCGACTAGTGCTCACAACCCCCACTCCCTTAGCAACTCTAATAAATCCAAATATTCAAAAAATTGCTGGTAAGTATCTGGAATCCTCTCAAAGAAAAATATCTACCTCCAAGTTGAAGAAAGTCTATCTATTTAACCATACGATTTTATGAAAAGTGGTTCTACAACATCCAACTTATTTTGAATTGACTCGGCCGTTACTTGATGAAAATCCATGGCGAATGTGAAAACTTCATAAACGATAAGATTTCCACAAAATGTTGTGGAAATCCTATCGTTCATTAAGTTTTTACATCCAACTCATTAAATGTCATTACGCAAATAGCAGAGAATCTGGATAATCACTCCCGAACAGACGTAATTAATACTGATTTCTTTGAAGCTTTCGACAGACTAGATCACGGTATAATATTGAATACATTTTCTAAAATGTGTTTGTCTTCCCATTTAGTCGAATTATTTTCATCATATTCATATCAAGAAGGCAATATGTCGAGTGCCGTGGTCACAGGTCAGTCGAATATCTTGCTATTTCGGTTATACCTCAAGGGTCGAACTTTGGTCCTCTATTATTCAACATATAATTTATTAACGACATAAATATGATTTTGTCTACGTTTTTCAGAGAATCTCCAATATCTTCGACTTGGTGATAACAATATACACACCATACCTACCGACGCGTTGAAACGACTGCACCGATTACGCCATCTAGATCTGAGATCTAACAACATCACTTTCATCGCGGAGGATGCATTTTTTGGATATGGAGATTCCATCACATTCCTCAACCTGCAAAAGAACGAGTAAGTAACGCTGCATTGCCCAGATATCAATATACAGGGTGATTTACGTGGGCCACACATTAGAAAATGGATGAAAATCTTGAAAAGTAGTATGCTGTTATAATCGATAATTTCCAACCCACCTGAAATATTTTACTTCTTCAGCTTTACAGGATGAGCCAACAGTCGGAAACAACTTCCTTATTATAAAGAGCAGACACCTTTATTCTTTTCACACGGTTCGATTTGCTCTTGAACAACGACGAAATAGCTAATGCTCAAAGTGGAATGAAATGATAAATAAATACAAGAAGCTCAAAGTCATTTCCACACAATGTTCATAAAATAAACAACAATGTTAGATTTCGGGCGAACTACTTCCCTGGCTAATGCCACGCAGAACATTGAATTACATCCTCCCGAAATCTATGCATCGACTCGTATAAAAGAATACTGATACAAGTGATTCTTTCCTGAATGCCTATTGATTTCGATTTAGCCAGGCCACGCTAGACACCTACAGACCGATTTCGGGCTCTCTGATTCTCATCAGTGAGGGGAGGTCTCCAGCCAGCAGTCCTGAGACAGCCGACTAAGCGTAGCCTAGCCAAACAAAATCAATTCGTCATTATATTCCCTCGGAGGCGTCCCCCATAGACAATATGGAAGCATTTCCATCTGAGTAGGAAAGAAGGAAAGAAACACTCCAAAACTGAAATTTCCATACGAGAGTGGTTGGTTGCCCGACTGGCGTAATTTCAATGCCGACTTGATTTTATATGTTCACAAAGAGTATTTAATGTTTTGACGTCATAAGTTTAGTTTATTTCCCTTTCTTGGAATTCGTATAGCATAAAATAGATCTCAAACAGATCTATTGAAACCTACGGAATTTTTTACAAGGTATTTACTGATGGAATAAATAATATGCACCTCGGCGAAAAACTGTCTTTTATGTCTCGCCTGATTGCAAACTCGACTATAATAGACAGTGTTTCGTCCTTGGTACATAAAAAGCTATTGTATCTGAATAAATCCAGAAAAGCTCAAAGTCATTTTCACGAATGTTCATGAATTGAACAACAATGGTCGATTTTACGGGAGAAAAACTACTTTCCTGGCTATAATGCCACGCAGAACATGCAATTACATCTTGACGAAATGTATGCATCGATAAGTATAAATGAATACTTCTGAGTATAAATGGTAGAAGTGCAAGAGTTTGAAGGTATCAAAAATGCCCGAATACCTATTTCTGTTATATGAAACTCTCAATTCATTAATTAATAGTATTGCGTATTTAATTACAAAACTCCTCTTCAAGCTCTGATTTTATCGTCTTTCAGGAAACTCATACCCTTTGATGAAATATCGAAATTTGTCTCTGGTGAATTCATATCTTATTTTTGTTTCAGTATAAGGACGCTGAACGGAATGATATTCGAGAATCTGAATTCCTTGGAAACTCTGAATCTGCAAAACAACAAGTTGATGCATGTTCCAGAAGACGTTATGGAGCCAATATTAGATACTCTCAGAGTTGTTGACATCATGGGTAAGAACATGAAAATGAATATTCCTATTCACGAACTATATACAGTGTGACCAAGATGATATTGCACAGCATGGGGATCTCGGAAACGGAAGGAGATACGAAATCGGTTAGATGAGAAAAAAAGCTGCGCACTCTGAGGGTCATACCAACGGCCTTCGAAAATTTTCGAAATTGTTTATAATATTTCAGTTATATCAGGAACAGTGAATTTTAAAGCACTTTTGATAGGATTCGACGCGTCGTATTCGAAGGAACATCAATTTTCTTTGAATACGGACTTTTATTCTGATTTCAACCAAGTACTACTTAAAGTGATTTGAATGTGTTTCAACCTAGTTTTAGCCATCATCAATGTTATTCTGAAATTCAATTTCTGATCATTCAGTGTCAAACATCAATTGAATGTTTCACCTCATGTTGGTCACACTGTATAGTATCACATGAAAAAGAGAAAGGACTATATAGATATGCATGTGCAACAAGAACAAAAGGTTCCACCCAACCATCAGTTGGTAGTTGCTTGTTGCCTCTTTCTCGTTTATCGAATTCATTAGTTGCTTTTCACCATCTTTCTGACCTAATCTTATGTAGAAGTCCAAAAGTTTCTCTAGAGTGTAATGATGAGAGGGTTGGAAAACACACAATCATTTCCCCAACGTTTGATGATCGGAAGATTATTCAGGGACAGTCATTTGTTCATCATCAGCCTTCAATAATCCTTTCGAACCGGTGATCCTATAATATGAATGCAATTGATCATGAAAAATATATGAAATAGAAGATTTACTCAGGGCACAGGGCCTATCACAATCAACCTGACACTTCAACCGGTGCTTTGCAGACAAATTTCAATCTATGATTTGTTCATGACATCATGTCATTCTCACGTGAGTAAATTCTATATTTCAATATGGAATGTTTTATGATTATTTATATTATCTAGTATTCATATCATAGGACCTTTGGTATGTAAGGATTACAGAATGATGATGGTTACATATCTGTCAGAAACAATCTTTAGATTATCAAACGTAGTGAAGATGATATTCAGTTTTCTAATCGTTTCTTCCCACCTAAGTCGCGATTTAGGTATACTTTGGGATGTCAACGTGGTAAATCCATTTATAATCATTGGAAACATATTCAGTTCTCAGAAATAGAGAGGTATAGAGTCAGGTTTCACACCCACAATTTTACCTTTACTGAGTTGAGACTTGAAATATCATTACTGCGTCAGATCATCGATATATTTTTCTCAACTTTTCCCAACCATGTCAGTTGATTTGATTGCGGCATAAGTTGGTTCTGTTTCACCCGTATGTATTGTTTTCAATCCTTCTCTCTTTTTCTATAGGCACTATCTATTATTTCTTCAGAAAACTAAATAATAATGAAGCTTTCAGAAAATCAAGTTTTTTCTAGATCTCCGTAAGCATTCCGAAATCTCCAAGTTTTGAAATGGCATTTTGCCAGGCATGACATTGCCTATATGAATCTGCCATAATTTAATCGACTCTGTATCTTTTAGGGTTCAAGAGATCCCAATTATCAGGCTCTAATTCCAGCCACCCTGTATATAATTGGAGATTTTCAATATTGGGAAAAACATTTCATTATTCAGTATCTCAACCGTAGAATTATCAAACTTCAAAGTCGTTGAAAAAACAGTCATTGAATACGTAAATTTCCTGATTTATTTATTTATTTATTCATTTATTTATTGAAAATGTGACTTCCAGTCAGAATCAAGTTCTGGTATGAGGAAGTATAGTTAACAATAATACCCGAAACTATTTCATTTCATATTGGTGAGCAACGATCAATTTGAATATAAATCAAAAGTTGTAAAAAAATCATCTATTTCGTTCAGGAATGATAAATTGTTTAAGTTCGTATTCGAATTTCATTGTATTTTTGCAATTTTTCATATTATCTGGTGATTTGTTATATTCGAGCACAGCAGCATATGGGAATCATTTTTGACCCATAGAAGAATTAGCGATATCAACATGAAATAATCCATTTTGTCTAGTTTGATAATCATGAATTTCATTATTTCGAATAATTGATTTGTTGATGTATCATATGGTTAACGATAGCTACAGTACTTTCAATATAATGCAAATATTTTATTATTGTTTGCCAATCCGTTGACGAAAATCGTATAGTACCATGATTTATTGTTTTACATGTTGAGTCCCATATTGTTTGGTGGTTTTTACTGAAGAATTTTATATAAATTGTGATCGACCATCTTTGTGTTGCTTCTTTTTTTCTTTTGAAATTACTTTGGATCACTTTGGGATATAGATGATGATTAAACGAGTATGTGTTTACTCATCATGAGAGAGGAAAAAATTCTGGCTTATCATTGATTAGGAATATGTTTCAGATAATCCATTATTGTGCGATTGCGAATTGCAATGGTACAAGAACTGGTTGAGCAACTTGAAAGACAAAGACGACGAGATGATGCAGAAGAAACGCACAGTATGCACAATGCAGTACGAGCACAGAGAGTACAGCTTGCAAAGTCTGCCGCTAGAAAAAATGGAGTGTGTCATCAAGAGCTATAAATCTGCAGCCAATGAAGCAAGGTGGAGTGTTCTGAAGCAAACTGCTATTGGCGCATTCGTATTAGCTAGGTATATTTATCTATAGCAATTTTAACGGTTTCTTAGCGATACTAGTGATATTTCATTTGTGAGTATATTGTAACACTTAGCGACAAGTTTTATATTTGTAAGTTCATAGAGTTCTCTTATATTGCAGTTCGGCTAGCTTCAACCAAGGTATCGAGCACAGAATACTTCTGAAATCCAAATTAAACGTGGTCACGTTTTGAAATCAATCAAACTGCTTTGAATTACCAGCGTCAAAAGCATTATGCTGAAATAAGCAGAAAAAACAATCCTTCAGACAGAGTAATTTGAATCTGTAGGAGGTCTAGAGAAACAATAGTTTCGGGAAAATAATAATTATTAAAGCTTCGTGGTCAACTGACTTGGTAGATGTTTGAAAACGAGGTCATTTAAGTTCTGATGAAAATATGGAACAGTTCGTTCTTAGAATACCTTCTGAAATATTGTGTGCTCCGATTGTACACTGGGTGAGGCGCTTCCTAGTAAATGTGAGATAATAGAGCATATCTTGTATTCCAGCATCTTCAATTTGCTTCTTAGCTTCATCAATATGTCAAGATTTCTTCTCATATACTATCTCTTACGAAAACATGAATTCGACTCAAACTGCAAATGCGTTCGAGGCTAGAAGTTTGTGAGAGTCATAAGGATTGACCAGGCAATTTTTTTGAGAAAATAGGCTCCATACATCTAGCCATTTATTGATTGTGTCTCTCTCAAGAAAAATGCCTAGGCGATCTGAGGTACTAATCCATACATATCAGAATATAGACTTGAAAGAAGAATCAATTCACCATTATAAACTCGTATCTCTATATTTACTATCTGTATGTTTTTGAAACGTGAACTGAGTAATTCATTCACATCTCACCGTTTTTCTCTCTAGATCTTGATGTTCAATAATGTTGAGTAGCTTTAGATTCTGTGTAGATGTGTTTAAGAGATCATTGAGGTATTTCGTTATTGACATTCCATATTTTTCTTCTAATTAAGTTCCAATATTAGTATCGCGCATCAAATGCAAATATATCTTCAATTAGGGACAAATTGGCCTACATATCAAGGTGGATGAAAAATTAAATCATATCAGAGGTGCCGCATTAATTGTAATATAACCTATTTTATATGAGGAAACATTCCAGAAAAAGGATAGATCTTTTCTAGAGACAGCACAATTGCTCCCAGAGGGATTGTGCAGAAAAGTTCGAGCCCTTTCATCAGGAAACTTTTGTAATATATAGGTTAGGGAGTCAAACAATGCATGCTTAGATTTAAGAGTATAACTATACTATATTTACCATAAAAAATGTGAGCTTCGAGTAACCATATCATTGTTAAAGTACCTATATATTTAAGAGATAATTATCTACATTAGAACATTGGTCAATGCACTTTGAGTGTGAACACGAAATGTTTGGAATTCCTACTTCATGCAATTTTGCTCTACTCGTACCTAAAAAGCCCTAGTAATAGTAAATGTTGGGAGGAGGAATCAGATCCTTCGTACATTGCCATGATGAAATCTGGAGTATTTCGTAACAATTTTCATGAAGACACCTGATGGAATTAAGAAGGAGTGCAAAGTTTTTGAAGCAAGAAACTATACACTTTTCGATGAGCTCTGAATAAAACAGCAATATCGATTATCTATTCAAAGATCGAGACCGTGAAAAAAATCTGAAACATATCATTGGACTATTGCGATAGTTACATATCTTGGTATTGTAAGTTTAGGCTAAGAAGGGAAAAGTTGTGCAATTGATAAATGGAAGTATTTTTGTGGCAATGTTGAGGCGCGCCATTTCCAAAATGGCTGCCGCCAGACCATTTCGAGACATATCCGGTTGAGGTGGAGCGATTTTCTGCGTCCTTATGGGTGCTCAATGCAAAGAATTTGCAATATTTTTCTAAAATTTCTAGTGTCAGGTCGTTATCGCATAGGGACGCAGATAGCCCACACACACCCACATTTTTTACTCTTTACCATATTATATGTATACAATGTATCTGTATAAGAGCACCTTCGTGGTTGATGTCTACCTATTCCATACTTTGGATGGGAATGTTGTGTAAAATTGTGTCATCATGTATTCATGTTATCAAATTCAATGTTTTCAAATGTATTATTCTATATCAATGTAATTCAATAAAGAAGTTTATGCTGACACTAACGCAAGTTGTTTGAATATCACTCTGTATTCAGATTATTTTTTCATACGCATGCGCTACTATGAATAAAATATTTTACTACGGCTATAACACAAGATTGCTCTTGTTATACGACGCTATACCTATATAGTGGAGTATACTACGGCCTTGCCAAAAATGCTATCTCGGAAACTAAGAGAAATAGAGGTATAGTTACTTTGGAGAAAAAGATCGCCATCGAATTTTGAGCAACTTTGGTTTTTGTGTGTGGTCTGTCTGTCTGTCTGTCTGTACTCTGTGGTAATCATAAATCGATATATCTCCGGAACCCTTTGACATATCGACTTGAAATTTCGCCATCTTATTGTACTCAAAATAATATCATGTCATCAAAATATGAAGGGAATCGGAAAATTCTAAGGTGGTTTTTCCGGGTTTTTTCGATTTTTCACCCGGAGTTTCTTGTATCCACTCTACAAATCGCAAAAGTGGTCCGATCGATTTCATTTTTTGTGAAAAAAAACTCTATCAGGAAGAGACGATGCCTATTGAAAAAACTAAAAAATTTACAAGTTCCTAGATAATCACTTGCCAATAGAAAACAAAACAAAAAACAAAAGAAAGTAAAAAAAGCACACTCGACTGTCTTGATTTTTTTCCCATAAACTACGTACCTAGCTCACTCGACTGTCTTGATTTTTTCCCACAAACTACGTACCTAGCTCACTCGACTGTCTTGATTTCCCACAAAGAAGAAATATGTTGGCATTGTTTCAACTTTCTTTTGTTTTTGTTTTTGTTTTTTTTAGTCCCTATTGGCATTCGAGTGGGCTAGGTACGTTATTTGTGTGGAAAAACCAAGACAGTCGAGTTGGCTAAGTACGTAGTTTGTGGGAAAAATCTCTAGTTCTCTGAACTTTCATAGCGTCGTTTACACATCTTTGGTGCCCAATGATAGTTTCAATATAAAAATATGCTCATGATATGGTGCCATGGCCTCTACTTCCATCTTACATTAGGCAATGATAAAATATCATATAAATTATCTGACCTCTATACTAATCTGATACCTAATGAAAACTACATCTATACTAATCTGATACCTTTCAAAAACTACGTACCTCACTTGTTTTACTCTGTTCTATACATCAATGAGGTACTATGTCATCAATTTTATTTCCGTATGTGATATCACAATGACTCCATTGTGTTATCATTTCAAAAAAACTCATAGCCCATGGACTGTCAAATTTCAAGCAATGATTCCTGTGGTGGGTAAATGCGTGGTTGCCAAGTTTTCTATATTTTATTTCATTTCGAAAATTTATAACACTCGAGGAATCAGAAAGACAGTTATGAATTTTCTTCTGAGTCAAGGTTTGGTGCCAGCATGACCCCATTGCAAGTCAAAAACCAAGGACCACAAGAATCCGGTTGAGCCATTTTCCCATTGTTATTTCAGAGAAACAGATTTGGAAATATATTATTGTTCTAAATCTTGAAAATGTAGACAAGATATTCCAGTGGTGAAATGTACATGGATTGAAAATAGCAACTTGTCTCCTCAGAAAGAATCCAAGTAAGTATTTTGTGTCCCAATACATATCTCTTATTGAGTAGTTGATATTCATGGGTTATTTGAGTCTGCTAACTTGACCTAATCTGACCTAAAATCACCATTCTATGAAACAACACCATCTAACTCAGCCAACACAAACCTTTTACTCTCGAAAATAATTTTGCCGAAACTTTCCTCAGCAGTGAATGCCTCCACAGTCCTTTTTCCAGAAAGGAAGGAAAATGTCCCTCCTGCATAAACACTACTTTTTTTGAACCATCTAACCTTACTCGACCTAAATGAACCTTCTTCCTAAGACGACAGTAGGTACTTTTTTCAGAGGGGAAGAAAAATATCCCTCCTGCACTAAAAAGGAGACTACTTTTTCTAAACAATCTAACCTAACTCGGCTTTTCCATCTGTATTAGGCAACCAGTACCTGTGTCTCTTTCCGTATATCCTGCGCGATACCTCGTATTGAAAATTCCAAAATGGCTGTGTCTTTCTGATTTTGTCGAATAGCTTGGCACGCGACGGATGGTTGCATTGAAGGATGTTTTTGAAATTGATGATTGAAGCAATATTTCCCCGATACAACTTGGGAACCACACTTTTCCTCACCACGGGAATCGTAACCATGACGTTCGTTGCCATGGCAATAGTTTTTCCATAACTGATTTCAGCTAAACGAAACTTGAGCCTATCTTTGTTCTAAACTGATGTAATCTTGAAACTGACTTTTATTTTAAATTGCCTCACAGTATATGATGTCTTTCATCTTTGTTTGAATCTTATTGTGATCTAATGCCCAGTTCTTCAATTTTTCTTGGAAGTTATAATATATTTCTAAGTATTCTATACCAGCTTTGCCATCACCTCTATATCTTCTTCAGAATCACTCCCTTTGGCGATATCTACACTTTCAGTGATTGGTCGATGATGCCCAGTATGTACAATTTGAAAACTTTTTTCTTGTACATTTTCCTTCAAGTTTGGACGAATCTCTTCATTATCTTGCATCCTCACTGGAGTTGGCAGATTTGTCATTCTTACTGATAATTTTTGAGTATTTGAATAGGTACTTCCTCTGCATATTTTTTCAGAATGTTTCGAAATGTGCCTGTTCGCTTGTTTTGCTTTGGCATAATTATTTTTGTTATGAAATCGAAAACATAACCAACAAAAACGTTCACATGGTGGTCATCACGACCAAGTAGAACTTTTTGATAAAACTACATTACATGAGGACAGTACGTACTCTTTTAAACGTTCTAAATATGTATAGCTCACAACCACATACATTCCTTGTCACA